CGCCCCGGGCCCCCCCGGGAAGGGGGGGGGGGGGGGGGGGGGGGGGGGGGCCCGGGGCCCCCCCCGGGGGGGGGGGGGGGGTTCGCCCGGCCTTTATTGGTCATCTCCGTAGCGCGGTCGATGATGCTTTCTACAAACCCCACACAACAAACCCGCAGCAACTTCACGCACACCTGCTGCACGGTGTCCCCCCTCCAGTCCTCCCACCCGTTGCGCCTCACGTCCTCCTCGTCCAGCAACGACTCCATCCCGCTCCCGTACACCAAGCTCTCGCCGAACCCCTGGGCCCGTCGATGCCGCTCAGCGTTGGCCGCGATACGCCTGCTGCCGAGTCTGAACATGAGCGCCTCGAGTACAGAAAAGGCCAGGGCCATGCATAGAAAGGCGTCGTACAGTCGTCGGAAGGAGTCGGCTTGGGACTCCGGGTCGTCGCCTCCGGGGACAGGGCTTGGCGGCCCCGGGTGCGGTCGGCCTCCGCGGGATTGTTCGTGTTCGAGGTCGAGGCGCAGCACCTGTTGACGTTTTCATGGGAGACAAGCGGTCGACAGATCGGTTTTGAGTAGGGGTAGGGGGGGGTGCAGTGCGGATAAATCGGTTGAAAGGAAAGGTCGGGTTGGGGTGGGTGAGTGCAGTGGTGGGAAGGGCGCAAACGCTTGACAGGTTGAGACTAGGCGCGGGGGTGGGAAGGGAGGAATCGGTTGACAGGTCGGGTAGGGTGAAGGGTGGGTGCAGCGTTAAGAAGGGACGAATCGGTTGATAGGAGGGTAGGGAGGGTGCAGTGTAGGAGGAAAGGCGCAAAACGGTTGACAGGTTGGGATAGGGTAGAGGGTGGATGCAGCATTGGGAAGGAGGGTGCAAATGCCCTGCACAAAAAATGGTGGCTTTTGACTGTCTCGCCAAACGCTTGTGTCTCCTGGAACCAGGATAATACGGAAAGCAGGAGAAACTTGGTCAAAGGCTCGATTTTTGGTGTCACGGTAAAGCCGCCCATCTTCCAGCCCTAGGTAGGTCGCGTTTCAGTCTGTCGATAGTACCCACAACTACCGCCCACTATTGCTCTGGTTGACCTGACCACCCCGGCACACGTCAGCCCCAGAAGCTGAGGTGCAGCTCACGAGTCGCCCTGACCTCGTGGAGACATCCCGCAAGAGGCTGCAAAACTAACCTGCAAGCAACTCCCACCGCGGGTGCTACCAGATACGTGCGCCTGCCTCTTTTCATGCCCTGCCTCTCCAACTCGAACGCCACGCCGCCAATTCTAGCCCTGGCTATTTAGTGACGCCGGTGCTCACCTCTGACCGCTTGACGATGAAGGTGACGCCCGCAATAAGGTCTGCCAACGAGAGGGGAGCGGAGAGATACACAGCACCCAGGAGGGGTAACCGACCTCCTTCATCCGCCGAAAACTGGTGAACAACGCAGCCAAGGGGGGAAACGAGATCTGGGTAAGGGGGTGGGTGGGGATGGGGAAGGCAGTCCCATGGTAGGTGGGTCGAGTTATTGTTGTACATAGTAGAGAGAGAGTTTTGTTCTAAAACGTACTGGCTGTAGCCAGATCTGGTGTGCGGCACCCGCGGGGTACACGTCCCTGAAGACAGAGCGAAGTTTTGATCTAATTCGGTCCTCGAAACAATGATGACTCGGTGGCAGAGCTCCCTCTGCTGTAGGTGCACGCTTTGATTTGTCTACTGCAGTTGCGATCCACAATTCATCCAACCCGCGAAGAAACTGCGTTTTAGTCCACTTACTGAAAAGACTTCACCATATCCCTTTCGACTGAGGTTATATCTCGAACGGGTAGTCTTTCTTTGAGGTTATGTTAACTTTCTAAAAACTGCGAGAAGTTTTGTCATCTTGACGGCACCACATAAATCTCGTGTGGAATCCTATTCCGCTTCGTGACAAGCGTTAAACTTCATATAGTTGGTTTCTCCTTCTTATGGTTGTTCTCCGTAATAAGGTTGGGGGGCGATAGATTCGTGACCAACGTCTTGACCGAACTTTTGCGGAGGGGGGGAGGAGTTGTCTTTCCTCTTTGTTGCCTTCGATTCTTGACGGCATTGATTGTTTCGCTTTTTCTGCCACCTGTTGCCTGTAGCTCTGGCGGCCGGGCGGGCACGAAAACAAAATCAGCGAACCGGGGGAGTACATGTAACAGCGTAACTACACCCGTTCACGCTATTGTAGACCTGCTGTTGTAGACCTGCTGTCGACTATATTGTTTTTCATCAAGAACAAGAACGCGAAAGAAATCCGTCCTCTTCCATCCTTATCCTATTATCCTATCCCTCCATGCGAACGAATTCCTCCGCTTTACGGCCGTACCCCCTGTCCCCTGGTCCTACGAATTGAAGTACGGTAACTAAAGTGTCTCCGCAACAGGGTGTTCGGTAGGCCACGAGTCATAAACAACAAAACCAGTCACGGATATGTGCTGCTTAACACCACCTTGTTGGTCTGGCGCGTCTACATGTTGAAGCGGTGTAACTGCAGAGAAAACGGCACACAAGCCATTCGGAGGTGCAGTATTACACGGACCCTTACCATGGTGCCTGCGGCTCCGCATAGCGCGCCGATCGCCATCATCGAGCCCAACACAAGCGCAATCGAGCCCAGCAGCTTCCCCTCTCCCTCCAGCCCGATTCTATTGAGATGCATCCAGAAGAGCTCTCCAAAGCACAGGAAGGCTATTCCCGCGAAGCCTCTGCATATAGTCAGCGGGAGGTAGGTCGGGCTGGGAGGGTGACGGTCACGGCGAACTCGCACCCGTGACGCAAAACGGTGCCGCATGATGCTCTTCTAAGCTGCTGCAAGTGAGATTTTCGCAAGCTTTTCCAGCACACAGAGCAGACTGCCCCCTTCACTTCACTCTGTACTCTCTCTGTGCAACGACAAGCTCAAGAGCTCAAGCTCTCCGGCTGGTTGCTTGCTGTAGAGGCCCCGCACTAGTACAAGAAAAGTATTACCCATTCCTGTTTGCGTGACCCCGACGGAGATCACCATCTACAATGAACGCAAAAACGACCACCACGATCGGAGGGTTCAGGATGGGTGACATCGCCAAGGACGACCAAGTCTCGGACCAAACGCTGCAGGTGCCTCCCAAGTTTTCGTCAAACGCGAAGGACAAATTTGCAAGTTGAATTTTGCATGTCTTTTGAACCGTAGATTTGCACAAGAAACCACACCCCCATGAACCGATCACCAAAGCTCGATAACTCTACAGCATCAGTGCGAGAAACAAAATGGCAGTGTTGGAACCTCGTTTGTGGAAAGATTTCCGAAATGGTATCATTCATTTGAAATTGGCAGCCTCTTCGTCGAGGAGTAACCGAGCTTCGAAAAACGGTCCGCCGCCGGGTGTGGTATCTTACGCAACGAACTGTTGCTGAAATACCTATTACAAGTTATTCAGAATGCAAGTTTATCTGCAGCCTTGCCATGGTGGTGTACCAGTCAACATCTATTGTCTAACCCTGCGGAACCTCACTTGCCCCTAAACGCACTTTGATCACATGTAGTCTACAGCAGTTCACGCAGTCTCTCTAGAAAAAACACGCAACACGCGTTGCTTTCGGTGGTGTGTTTCCAGCTCATCGCCAGGCGAGCGGTTGCGATAGAGAGACGGCTGCGAGGAGAGCCGCCAGATCTCACGGACCCAATCGAGCGGGTTAAGGAGCACTGCCATCGAGTCGGGGCCACGAGCGTCAGATACAAGGTACATCACGCAGACGCTTCGGACCTGCTTGAGCCATAAGTTGATCTGATGAACAGGCGTCCTTCCCGAGCGAGCTGTTGTTGACTTTCTTTGACGCCACGGTTTTTCACTCTAAGGCCGAATCTTACGTCGTGATTATTTCGGAGATTTTTTTTTTCTCTCGGTGGGGGGGGGGGGTCTGCAAGGGAAAAATTATCTGGATCCAAACGCCCTTCTTACGGTTCCTCGAGACAGATTTTTTTCTGAGGGGAAAAAAAGGGCCGATTGAAGTCTTTGTGGGTCACAACATGCTTCAGTTCACGGTTTTGGCTCATGTGCGACCAACAAGACACCGAGTGCCCTGTTTTTGGGTCGCCTGCAGAGGGCATGTATATAATCGCACGCCAGTGACTGCAGTTTGCGGATGTCGTCGGCCAAAGACCTCTCTCGGGCATGCGTTGTGGATTGATCACGCTCGGAGCAACCAGAAAATAAAAGGCAACATCCAAAAAAGGCAACATCGCAACACACTTCGGTTCACGTTTACAGGCCGTGTGCAATCAAAACTGGACAATACGCTCTGCTTCTGGGACGCGAGCAGAGCGATTGTGTATGATCACACTCCATTGGCAGTAGTTTGTGGATGTCATCGGCCGAAAGCCTCTCTCTGGCATGTGTTGTGGACTTGTAGCGGGTGACACACGGAGCAAACACGCGGCGGAACAAGAGAAAAGTCCAAAAAGTCAACACCGCAACGCACTTCGGTTCACGTTTACAGGCCGTGTGCAATCAAAACTGGACAATATGATCTGTTTCTGGGACGAGAGCAGAGGGTATCTATATGATCACACGCCACTGGCTGCAGTTTGTGGATGTCGACGGCGTAAAGCCTCTCTCTGGCGTGTGTTTTGACTGGTCACACATGCAGCAGGCACAAAAACGGCTCTTTTCGGCCCGAAGCAAGAACGTCATCAGAGCATTGTGGCAGGGTTGACGTTATCGGCTCGTGTGCGGCCAACACGACGCAGAACGCTCTGAATTTTTTATACCTGCAGAGGGTTTGTGCATGACCTAATGATACTGGTCTCTGGTTGGCCAGCAGACGGTGTAGTTCCTCGTTCTGGCACGATCGGGGTGTGACCAGGGGGTACCCCCCCCCAATTCCAAACTGGAAATTATCAGCCGATCCAGTTTGGAAAATGGGCCTATTTTCCAACGCGGCAGCTGGGATCCTAGGAAATATTGGGCGACTTGGAATTTGGGCGTTTGGAATTGGCCAAATTCCTCCGCGTAAGACGCTCAAATAATTATTTGGGCTGAGAAAAGGACCCCCCCCCCAATAAAAATCCCGAAATAATCACGATGTAAGACTCGGCCTAAAATAATGGGAATTGGAATTTTCCAACTAGTTGTAGGAATTATAGGAACAGGTTTAGGTTCGTGTTCGTTTTGCTCTTGGTTCTGCGGCTAGTCCTTCATCGGCGATAGCTTTCCTACCGTTCAATGCCTTTGTCCAGAGGTTGTGTTGGACTTGCCAACGCCAAGAAAAGGGAAAAGATAACGATTGTGAAGGTGTTGCGTGTCACACGTTCTGTCGCTGACGGACAGATGCTGTGACCACGCTGTTCTTGTCATCGCGCGACCTATGTTTTGTATCAGTGGGTCCCGCACGGTTACTATGACACGCCGTTGGAAGAGCGGGCGAAGGAGCTGGGCTCCGAGCCGGGGCAGCTTTGCAAGACGATGATAATGGAGAACAAGGCCTTCGATGAGGTACATGTATGGCAGACAATAGATAATAGCGCCTTCTATGACAGGCTCTTGGCGCTGTGTGCTCTCGGTGGCCACCTCTCACCGCACGCACACTCCTCTGTGCCGCGCGGAGCCCTTGGCACAACCCTTTCTTTTGATGACGCTCGGAATCATTCCACGATGACGATATGACGATAACTCCCCGCGAAACAACGCTACAGAGTCGGTCGCCTTTGATGGATGGGTAGAAGAGTGAGTGACCTAATCGACAACGAGAAAGGTTAAGGAAATAGAGAGCGACCGGGGGTGCCATGGTTCGAGGATTACCGTAGCGTGTACAAACAGCGCTCGCTGCCTGTAGACTGCCTTGATTTTGTGTTTGAAGACCGCGTGTAGGAAACAACGAAGCCCTTGCATCCCCCTCCCCGGTTTGTTGCAGCATACTTGTCGTGGCTCCGATACAAGAGGGTGGTGTGACAAAGGCCCCCGACCCTCTTATATCGAAGCTCCCTTCTTATGCCGGAACAAAGACGGCACCCAACAATGTTATAGCGGGTCGAGTCCGTGACAAGCGATTTCGATCCTCTTATATCGGAGCCCCCTCGTATACTGTACGCGCTACACGCGTTTTGGCTTTTTGGCAGAACGACCCGACGATAGAGCGGTTCTACCTCGTGGTGGTGCAATACGCTGCTAGGCTCAGCTCACAGAAGATCTCGGCCGCGGTGATGCGCATGATGAAGCACTCGTCTCGGGGTCGATGTAACCTACAGGTGTCTCCCGAAGAAGTGAGTGATTGTGATTCGGCACAGTCAGTCGAGTACCGTACAAACCAAAGCCGTACGTTTGTCTTTCGGAATGTGCCGATTGGGTGTTCATGTGCAGCATGAACAGTATCGTATGAGTGTGTCTGTTCTCTCTCTCTCTCTCTCTCTCTCTCTCTCTCTCTCTCTCTCTCTCTCTCTCTCTCTCTCGCTCTATCTCTCTCTCTCGTTCTCTCTCTCTCTCGTTCTCATCACCCCCCCGCTGCCATCTCGCCCCGTTCAGGTCCTGCCTCGATAGATAGATTGACATGTCACACTATGAACTTGTGCCTGATGAAGACGAGATTAGAGAGCAAAGTAGAGTCAGTCTTGTTCACATATATATCTCCACCAATGCGGTGCGATGGCTAGACTGATGATGTCCGTGTAACGGTTGCAACTCACCAACTGCGGCAGCCTACAGGAAACGCGCGCAGCAAGCAGCCTCGACGACATGGAATATCGTGCAAGCACCAACGAACCCCCATGAGCCCTTACGTTTTTTTCCTAGTATTTTGGTCCATGTTGGAATCCCAATGCTGGCGTGTTTCGCTTCATACAGTAGACCCTTTCCAAACAGATCTGCGCCACTTGTTTCGTTCCACGAAGTACGCGGGAGCCAGATTCCAAACCTCCCGCGGGTAAAATTGAAGAACCAGATGTTTCCATCCAAGTACGGTAGCAACGATCTTGTCGCCGGGTTCTCACGCCGGGAAGACCTCAACCGATGACACGATGTTGCGCCGCCCCCCCCCCTCTCCCCCCAAGCATCCACAAAACAGCAGTCGCCCCCTTAAACCCAGCTCTCTCGTTCTCTGTACTACGTCCACCTCCCTTTTTTTTCACACGCACAGCCCAAACATCCAAAAAAATCAGTCGCCCCCTACAACCCAATTCAAGGTGGAGCTTTTTCGTTTTCTGCACTTCCCCCCCCCCCCCAGACTAGGGAAGACATTTTTGAGCCACCTTTGGCAAAGTAGGAAGGAACGATTGGCCATCGGTGATCGGTCCTGTGGGAACAATGCTCCGTCCTCTCGAGGACGCGTGGTCAATGGTCTAACCGCTAAGGCATGCAAAACATAAGAGTACGCCCCCCCCCCGCCCCCCAGGTTGGTCTGTCGCTGTCCGGGTTTCCTCACAACGGCGTTACTGTATTCGGCGGCCTTACCCCGATGCCCGTCATTCTGTCGGAGGCTGTGCTGGCCCTGAGACCTTCCTTCTTGTGGATGGGCGCCGGACACCCCTTGCTCAAGCTGGGCGTGAGCACGGAAGACTTGGTGAAGAAGCTCGGCGCCACTGTTGCGGACATTTCTGTCCCGAGGGACGGGCCAGGGGCTGCTGACGATGATGAAGGCACCTACGACTGACGATAGCGGTAACTGCCCACGAGCGGTTGTGTTGCGCTTTCGGAGCGATCGAGGCTACCTTGGGGTTGCTATTTTGGTACTATGATATTGCCGGCGGACAGCGAGTTCACATTTTTACGAAGTACGTAGGATTTTACCGATCCATCTCGATGGGGAGAGCTGGTCGGAAGAGCGCGGTGTCCTTTCTTAGATCTACGTAGACCTACATTTCTCCGGAGTTTCGTAGAATTCAAGAAGGATTTTTTGCCTACGGGTCACGACGAGCCATTGATACCGACGGCAACCCTTTATCACCCTAAACCACACACGACACGCGTGGAAAAGGTCGTACAGTGTTGAGGCCCTTGGTGCCGCAGCTTCGTACAAGCTGCAGTAAGTGTTGTTTGCTTTTTTACTGGATTTTCCAAAACTCGCCACAATACAAAGTGGGTCATCTTTCAATCTTTCAAGCCAGCGGAAAGCCACGGGCGAAAGGGGGTATTCAACGACAAGCGTCATCATTCTAAGACAATGATTCACCCTGCTTTTTCGGGCAAGAATGTGGACCCGCAAGGTTTAGGTGCTTGTCCAGCCCGTACATACAGGTAAGCAAGGACGAGAATATCGCTTCCTGGGATATCGCGTTGTTCAGCCAGGCTTGGCGCGTTGCAAAAGGTGGTAGCAGCAGTATGTAACGCCACCTTCACTCACCAACAACCTACGCCGTGGCTGTCGATGATGTACTGTAGAGATACGTACAGGTTGCGAACGATGCCGACAAAAGGTCTAACGTTTTCTCGAAAACGTAATACGTGATGGCTGGACCACCCGAGTCTTTGGAAACCTCTTTCTTGCATTCGTTGCCAACAAACAGCGCATTCACCCCACCAATTACCACGGAAGACACGACACGACACGACACCAAGCCATGATTCATCATCCATCACCCGGCACTAGTATCTACAGCGAAACAAAAAAAACACTTCTGGAACAGCAGTCTGGCACATGATAATCGTGCTGCCATCCTCGCCCCACCGCCCACACGCGAAGCAAGCCCGGCATTGACACGACACACAGTCGAGGAGGGCAGGCAACAGACAGTGAGAGAGAGGAATGCATAGGTGTGAACTCAATCGCCTCGTCTCGTCCGTCGACTACTCCAATTGCTTCCTACACAACAGAAAGGCAGCCCCGTTGAGGCACCACGTACCGCTACTCTTATCTTCTAGGCGGATTGGGGCATTCTCCGGAGCCCCTTCCGCCCGTTTTGTCTCGCTCCAAGCACGCAATACACGGCCCGAAACGCAGATATGCAGATGGAAGACGTACGTCGACAGCATGAAGTACGTATCTCTTCGGCAAAGAATCAATCTTTGGGACACTCACCAACGAACTGATAAGCCGAATGTGAGAACGATCTGCCATGCGCTTCTCTCACTCCAGTGCTGCGTGCCGCGAGGGCCGCTTCGACACGACATGGTCACTTGACACCGGTGCATTCAGCCATCGTCCATCATCCACTATCGACAGCAAGTAAAAAACAAATGGGGAGTGGGTCGGTGCTTTGAGCTCTATCTCTCGCTCGCTCGCTCTCTCTTAACACAGAAAAACAGACAAGTCTCCGTGGAGAAGGCTCCAACACCAGTCAGTCAGGCACCTCTATTGTACATTGTGCCACTATAATACTATTACAAAAACGCACTTGAAATTGTTCTATCAAGCAACCTTAACGTGCAGTCCCAAAGTGCAGGCGGGCGGCATCACACCGGCGAAATACAGCGAGGCTCCAGTCCAGCGCGGCCAACACGGAAAAACGCCTTCCACGCAACCCCGCCTGATGTGAACAGGATACACAACCACCAAACGAAACAACTTTCTCGAGCACAAAATGGGGGGGGTCTATTTCCCCGCTGACTCAACAGCAGTAAAAACAAAACAAAAAAACACTCGTTCATCGGGTAACGTAGTTTACTCACATGTGCGCGATTGACAAAAAACAAATTGCTAAATTACAGAGCCCAAGACTCTTGGCTTGAATCCCCACCAACACACACAGATGAACAAAATGACAACAGGAGAGAAATGGGATAAATGGGCAGAGGCACACCACATCCACCGTTATGCCGGAGTCGATATGTTCACAGGGAGGCAACAATTGAACATTGCACATTGCTACGTTTTCCTTCAGGCCGAATGCGACTGACTACACGGATACGCATCGACCAAGCAGCAGCGGCCTACGGGTTCACTGAAGGCACTCGAAAACAGACACGACGCACCCATCGTGACCTTTCGAAACCATCTCAGTGGAACAGGACACGCGCGAACGCAACATGGAAGGTCTTCGTCCTGGTGGCTTCGAGCGAAGAAAGCCTCACCACACCAGCTGGCTACGGCGACGTTCTACGTACTAATGTGGTACCGCGATACTATACGATGCTGTAGGATTGAACGCTCACATGCCAGTACACCCCAGATAAATCACGTGGACTTTCGATCTCCCTTGATGGTAGTTAGGCGTCACAACTCTACCGCTACCGCTACCGCCCAACTCGAGCAGTCGAATCACGACCACGGCACAGCCAACTGCCTCTTGGAGAAGAACCAATCATTCAACGCTGCGCTGACTAACAAGCCGCTCGCTCTGAAGCAGAGATAAATCGCTTCACGCATCTCATCTGCAAAAAGCAACCAAAATGTTCAAACGCAGACACATTTTGGAAACCAACCAACGCTCGGATCGACCCTACCTACACTGCACGCTCGAACGGAACGAGCAAATCGTCTACACTCAACCGTCGAGAATGTAGTGAAACGTGGTATACCATTTGATATTCACACAGACAACAAGACGACAATGATCGATCGACAGGTCAACACGCATTCATCCCATCCCATCCCACCCAGCCTTCAAACCCACCCACGAGTACGTCGTCTACATGTAGGTGGATATCAACAATCTGCATCTAGACTAGATACTGGATGAGCCCCTCTGTTTTTTCAAGTGAACAGAGAACTGAGGCCCGTTGCAAGTTTTGCACCGCCGTTCCTTCAAGTGAAGAGAGGCTCGTTGCAGGTACGACACCGTTCGGCCGTGAGCTTGTTGCGCAGCGTGCACCTGGAGCACGCCATGAACCCCTCCGACGCCCCCTCAAGATCCCCGCTCTCTTCCCAGTCGTCCACCGCGAGACTAGCAGCCTCCGCCGCCGCGATCTCGGCCTCCACATCAACGGTAGCTCCCCCGCCGCCAACGCCCGACAAAAACGCAGGAGGCGACGGCCTCCTGGTACCGCTACTGCTGCTGCCTCCGCCGCCGCCGCCCATAAGGGCCGTGCCCTGGAAACCGGTCTCTGGTCCGGACGGAGGCTTGGTCAGCCCATCCAAGAAAATTTGGCCGTCGTCTTCGTCCACGTCTCCGGATGGTTCCGTGACCTGGTTGGATATTGATTACGTACGTCGTTTTTGGTTCATGCTTACGTTGGCCAAGGATTGAGTGGATCTTTCGTGGAGGCTGTGCGACGATCTCTCTCGTGTAGTCACGCATAAATATTTGAACTCTAATTGATCGTGCTTCGTTCATGGTTCGGTTTGCCAAGTGTTGAGTGGATCCTTTATGTAGATTGTGAAACGGTCTCGAATAGCCACGCGGCAGGGTTCCTTCCACCCTCTTGTGCAGGCTTTTTCTTTAAAGTTAGGAAAACAACTGAAACAAAACTAACGAGTTTTACCGCGACTTTATTGCACTCCATGGGGTGATGGAGGTAATGAAAAATTGTCATGTAAAACCCATGCCATCCCGAATGAAAGCAATGAAAGCAAGGTGGTCGAGCCTTGTGCACACTTATCCAGAGGAGAACGCTGCACTGTGCTGACAAAATCTTCCACCACGTCTGACTTGCTTCGTTCCCTCATGCTAGTTGGCTTGTACATTGTGTGTGTGGCGGTCGTTCGTGAAGGCGAAACCAAGTGGGCTCCGCAACTAGTAAGTACCCCAAGGGTTTAGGGCAAAGGCTACGGATAGCTAAGAGTAATAAAATATTCGATACCGTGACCTCTTATGGGGTGAGGGCAAGGGAATAAGTAGTTTGAGGGTAACAATCACGTTACCTTGAGGTGCAGCGTGTCCCCAGCCTTGACGTTGGCAGCCTGCAGCGTGCTTCCCCCCGTCAGCTCCGTACCTCTCAGGTAGAGAACCTGGCGCGCGGGTGCCACCTCGATAGATGCGAACACCTGATGCCATGATGCCAGCGACGAAGAAAACCGCAATCGAAAAGACAAGAGAAAACGCGCAACAAGCGTCATCATCGTGCCAGCACCGCGGGAGAAGAACAACACAGCGCCGCTACCGGTGTTCGATGGTAAAAGTGGCGTTTTACCAGAGAGCGCAGCATGGGTACACCGTGCAAGGAACGAGGTACTTCTATTTAGTACATGGTGGACATTTTTATCAAAATCATTGCATTGTGGGTACGGCCAGGGACTCGATCGTCCTTGTACGGGGTATTGAGAGTATGAGACCAACTGAAAATTCCATCAGCGTCACACGATTTCAGCGGCTTTACATAGGGCGCGTGTCCTTTACGAACAATCCCGCTCGATCGCCACAAAAAAACAACAAAGCTTGTGTGCAAACCAAACACAAGAATGTTCACACCAACTCAGGTTGTCCAGAAAACAGCCCTTTATGAAAATCAAAGGGAGGAGGCACAACAATACAATACTCTTACATGATCAACACGTTAGTTACCTGGAGCTTGAAGTGGCTGACGGTATCGTCCGAGCCGCATGTGATCTCGAACGGCGCCGCCCCCCTTCCCCGGGTGTTCCTTTTCAGCCTTCCCGTCGACGAGAACTGGGCGGCCGAACCGTCCCCCGTTGGTGCTTCCTCGCCGTCCTTGAGCCGGACCACTTTCACTTGTTTGCCCTAGAGTTGGAGAGAGACCGGGAGGGGGCACAAAAGAGTAGATTTCGTCGCCCTGGATCCCCTCACGGTACGTGCGTGGAGATGAATAGCCTCGAGAGGCCAACTTTTCTGGGTACAACTTGAAGACATGGATGCACTTGGGAGAGGAGAGCACCAGAACGAACGCTGGTGCCTAAATTCTTTCATACGGACGGTCTTTTGGACACAGAGCCGTGTGTATCCCAATACCGCAACGGAGGGCATGTGCGGCAGCCAACTCAAAACAAAAATTCGGCGCCTTGCCCATAGATGTCTAATACCGACTGCTGTCTCCGTCTTCCGTCTTCTAACCAGTCGAAACGACTCTTCCACACTCATACACTACACCGGAAACCCTTCTCAACAAACCGTCGGTGACGCGCGGGTGTGACGGAACATGGAAAAAGTATTCTGGTCCTGAATTGACAGTCGAAATTCGGGTGGGGGACCACCGGTCACATTCAACGGTCACAACCGACGGTCTCACAATAAGATCAACCAAGCGTCGCGTGGGTCGAGTTTGACGGTGGGGACCACGCGAATTAGGCGTACAAGCTACTTGTACTATACCTTCCTTCTGGTTTTGAGGTTTTTCGTCTCCGCGCTTGCGTCCACGCACCAGCACACTCGTCGCCCTTTGTTTTTCGCCCATCTATCGATTCCGCAATCATTTCGCTGCACACTTTCCGGTTGAAACACGCTCACACAAGCTGCCCCACACGTCCACCTTAACCTTTCCCGCTTGCTAATCTATGGATGTAACACACACCACGGCACTGTAGCATGCGACGCACGGTTACATACCTCGAACACGATCTTGGACAACTCCGCCCTCTCAGCAGCCGCCTTCGTGCACTCCTCACATACCCTGGGGAACCATCCACCTCCCTCCTCCTCCCCCTCCCCTGGCGAGTACCTCACTCCGAACGTTCTTTCAAGCGCACTCTTGGCAGTGGAGGTAGAGGTGGAGGACGCGGCTCCGCCGGCGCTAGAACTACTCCCACCACCACCACCACCACCACCACCACCACCACCACCACCACCACCACCACCGCCGCCACCACCATCTACATGCGTCACATAGCCGACCTTTAGAACGAAGACACGAAAACGACAACAGCGGGAAGGGGGGCACCAAAAACACAAGAAACATGTCACAAGACAAGAGGTGGACGGTTTAGACCAACACACAAACTCCTGCGTACATGAAGCGAAAACTGAGGCAATATTAAACCTTCTAGCATACTTCCAAGTATTTGATACAATAGACCCACTCTTGTCATACTGTTTCTACTTTCAGCCCCCACGTGGCTAGACTTACATAGCGCTGGCAAAACGATAACCGCAAGCGACCAGTAGCCTTCGAAGGGTTTTTCTGATAGGTACAATAAACATGTAGAATAAACCATGCAGTCGGGGAAGTTGGGCTAGGGCTAGGGTTAGGGCTAGGGTTAGGGTTAGGGCTAGGGTTAGGGTTAGGGTTAGGGTTAGGGTTAGGGATATAGTGTGTGCGTGTGCGTACGCCCCCCCTGTTGTACTCCTCGTACGTATCATGAGCTTAATACCTCGCGAGCGAGGGCGGTCCGAAGCGACTCACTTGATGTAGGTCGACCCATTCCGCCTCCGTTATAACTTCCGCCTCCGGCACGCCATCCTCGTCCGACATGACCGAAAGAACGCTTGCGCCTGCGGCGCCTGCGGCAGGAGGAAGCTGACCCCTCTCCAGCAACTGCCGCAACCGCTCCCCCACGACCACAAGGCCGTGGTCACACCGAAACGCCTGCCGCCCCAAGACGGAGTACCGACATGGTCAGGGTTTGGGGATATGTTCGACGGCCAAACTCGTTGTCTCGTTTGCCACTTCAATACACTTTCCATAAGGTCGGAGGAGATAGGGTTGGGAATAGGGTTAGCGCGAGATTGCCTAGACCCCACAGCGGTAGGGTCGTGGTCGCAACGAAAAAACTGCCGCCCCAAACGGAGCACCCACAAGGTCGGAGGAGAAAGGGTCGGGAATGGAGAATGGGGTTAGCGCTAAAACCTAGGCCCGGCAACGGCCAACTCGCGGTCGCAATGCTGCTCCTACAGCACCGAACGTATTGGGGTCGAGGATAGCAGTAGGTCTAGGGGGTAGGGTGAGGGTCGGGATTAGCTCTACAACGACCGGGCTGCGCATCTGCCACGCGCCAAAGGACGCGATGTTCAACATCGAGACAGCGTCTGGGTGAATTAATTAATGATCTGGACTGTTGTGAGGGTGAGAAAAGAGGCCGGCCATTCTTTTCCGGCTTTACACAAACAAAAAAGACATGCAAAGCGTTGAGAATATCGATGGATGAACCACCAGGGGTCAGGTACGGCAGTGGCTGAGACAAGCAAGCGCCCATTTTGATTAGAATCATGTTTCTATCCACGCCATGATCCCAGGCAAGACGCGCAACGCAAGCATTTTTTTTACACCGGAACCGCAGGCCTGTGGACGCAGCGCACCTGGGTAGCAGTAGTTCACGGTGGGAAGCTGCCGTTGGATATGTATGCATGTCAAAGATACGGTAGATTGGGGTTTCTATCTGCCTGGTTGGCATGTTGGCAGGAGAGAGATAGATGGAGAGAGAGAGACCAGACTCGTGTGCAATAATAATACACTGTGTTTACCATCACCAAGGAGGTGAATTGACCAGCCCCCCGAGGCCACGGGGGGAGGATACTGGTCCTAGGCCCTGCCTGACTTCAGGCGTGTCTACAGTTATCGATAACTCAGGCTGACGGACCAGGGTCAGTCAGGGTCAAAAAACATTTTCGTGACAACAGCAGGACGAGCTATTCCGGATCGCGGCACCGGGGACGCCCGTGGATACCAGCAGCAGCAGCAGCAGCAGCAGCAGCAGCAGCAGCAGCAGCCGCACCGCGCCCAGGGGCAAGCGCCGCAGCAACAGCGCCCTCCCGGTCAACAGCAGCAACAGCCGTCTTCAGGAGGGGGACGGGGCTCCGGGGGGGCATCTTCCACCAACTTTCACCAACGCCATGTTGGAGGTAGGGCTGTTTTTTCCGGGAAATCCCAGGGGCAGGCCGCTCCGACGCCTTCTCTGCCGCCCGACCCGTTCCCGTCCGCTACCACTGCCCCCGCATCTTTTCCAGCGCTGTCTGAGGGTGTGGGGGTGCCACCAGGCCCTGAGGGGCCATTCGTGCCGGCGTTTCGTGGGGTTCAGCCCGGAGGTATGTCTGGGTTTGATTCTGAAGGTATCGCGGTTGATTCGCAGGAAAAATGGTGCCAAGTGAGCTTGTCGGTGCCTGGTGCTGCCGATATGACTGCCATGATCCGCACGGGGCATGTTTTCTGTGTGACCGCAAGCACGCGGCCGTCTGCGACTTTCAGCTTCCCCGGGTTTTGCGTGCCCCCCCACGACCTGTACATCAGGAAAAGCAGCTTGCAGCCTACTCGCGATACCGGCTGACATGGTGGTGAGCCCTGATCCAGAATCCAGAACCGCAACGGCGTCTATGGCAGTCATATCGGCAGCACCAGGCACCGACAAGCTCACTTGGCACCATTTTTCCTGCGAATCAACCGCGATGCCTTCAGAATCAAACCCAGACATACCTCCGGGCTGAACCCCACGAAACGCCGGCACGAATGGCCCCTCAGGGCCTGGTGGCACCCCCACACCCTCAGACGGCGCTGACTGACGAATTGGTGTGGCATGATTTAGTCAGGCATGATATCGCCGTGTACGGGTGTTTATCATTCACAAACACCGCTGTCGTTTTCTTCTTGAGTACAACCAGGTGCCTACTGCTGTTTGAGTTCAAGCTGATTAGTGTCTACTCCGGTAGTAATAAGCTTTGGGGGCATTGTGGACGCAGCGCACCTGGGTAGCAGTAGTTCACGGTGGGAAGCTGCCGTTGGATATGTATGCATGTCAAAGATATGGTAGATTGGGGTTTCTATCTGCCTGGTTGGCATGTTGGCAGGAGAGAGAGATAGATGGAGAGAGAGAGACCAGACTCGTGTGCAATAATAATACACTGTGTTTACCATCACCAAGGAGGTGAATTGACCAGCCCCCCGAGGCCACGGGGGGAGGATACTGGTCCTAGGCCCTGCCTGACTTCAGGCGTGTCTACAGGCCACACCTGGTTCAGCAGGCACCCCGGCCGGTCGGAGCGTATGCTCGAGTTGTCGTGGAAGGCTCGCCACGTCGACATCCACCATGCTTCCACAACGAAGTACCGCTCGTGCGACGACCCCCTGCCGCTGCAGCTGTTGCCATGTCTACAAGCACCGGTCAGTGGTCGGGGCCGATACAGATGGCCGTGGTCAACCAAGAGGCCAACATAATAACAACAAGTGCGGCACGAAAGTCAGGTGACACGTGATGAGATCTCGCAGCAGATCAGTCCAAGAGACCAAGAAAACTGCCCGCGTTTCGGGAGGTCAAAAGTCCCCCCCCCCGAAACTTCTTTACATACGCGTTTGGTGTAACGGTGATCGGTCCTGTGGGAACAATGCTCCGTCCTCTCGAGGACGGGTGGTCAATGGTTTAACCGTTAAGGCATGCAAAACATAAGAGTACGCCCCCCCCCCCCCGAAACTTGTTTACATAGGCGTTTTGTGTAACTGTTAAGCGCGAAAATAGCATAAATAGCATCACAGATGGCGCTTGGCTACGGCAGTGCAATATTCGGGTCCTCGCAGCATAACGGCGCGGGGGTAACACAGCTCGCCCGATGCCCCGTAACATATGTCGGGGGCGGGAGAAGAGCATACTGCGTCCGTCACCGCGCGCACACGGTTAATGGCATTTAGAGGTATTTTGTGTTTTCAACCGCACTGAGACTGACGTATTTTCATTGGTCAGCCGGTTAGCGCGGTCGATGCTACTAATAAAAACACACACACACATACTTTCAAGTTTTTTTCGTCCGGGGCGCACAGCCAAGCATGCTTCAAGCCGCTAGCGTACGGGGCCGGATACAAGACACTCCTTCCTACGACCACCGCCCCGCCGTTTCTCTTGCAAAACAAGCCACACGCTAAGACCGGCCCCACAAACCACAGCGCAGTGCTGCATACGACCTGACCCAAAACACCAACAGGAACCGAGGTAGGGTTCCACCTCCCCCGGGCCTGCCGCGGGCTTTGAGGCTCGCTTGCCTGCTATTGCTGCTGCTCGAAGAACCTCCCCGGCTGTGCGCGAGCAATCTCGGGGGGAGAGCATCGCTTCGCTTCCAGAGGCCTTTGAGAGACGGACCGGTCACGAGCTCCGCGCTCTTCGCCTGCCTCAGGTCCAGCTTGAGCTTCATCTCATCCTTATCCTAGGGTGTCCGCGCGAAAACGCGTTTGTCAGGTGGTCGGAGTGGGAGGGAGGAGGGTTGCTCGTGTTCCCTCGGTCGAGGAGCTCAGCGCCCTCAACATCAGAGAGCGTGGGCAAAAGATGATGGCGTGACTACTCTCTCATCATCTCGTCGACAAGCTCGACGTCGCGAAACACCAACTGGTCGGAATAAAAATAACTGAAAATTGTCAGAGAGACAAGCTCACCTGCGCTACGGTAGTCGCACCGCCTACCTGAAGGGTCGGTTTGGACTACGGTACGGTATGGTATGGTATGGTATGGTACGGTACGACACGGTATGGTACGGCGCGGTGCGGTGGGGTGCGGTACGGGTGTCACACCTGCTCTTCGCACTGGCTGCACGGCTGAGTTCCGGCCGGGTACTCGACCTCCTCCGCCAACGGGAAGAGGTTCTTCACCATCTCCCACCCCCGTGGGGAGATCCAGCGGTACTTGCGCCTGCCGGATTTCCTGCCATCCCGAACGAGCGCGAGAAAAATCAAACAATCAACCCATCAAAAGATTCAAAACGGAGGGGAGATGCGACACTGATGACGCCTACCGACAGAAGTGATTTCAGAGAGAAAAAAAAAAGGCATCTCCTCACCAGCCATGGGTGCAGCAGTCGCAGCTAACCTTTACCTTACCACCACGCGACTTCACCAGGCTACCTGCTAACTCGCTTGCTGCTTCCGCATCCACCTCTCTACAACGCGGAAACGACCAAAACGAGACCCAACAGAATTCCAAGCAACAACGGTAAAGACCGCCGCCGGAGTGCAAAGAAAACAAAATGCCGTGCTGCTGTAGGCGTTGCAGATATGTAGCGAAAAAACAAGTAAAAAGCTAACGCACCCGCCGACAAGGTTCCCGTGCTCGCACGTGATGTTCTGGTTCACCCGTCCATCCGGCAGCCTCATCGCACCAACCGGCTCTCCGCCAGCACCGCCACCCTGCCCTCCCCGACCCCGCCCCTTCCCGCCCCCGCTGCCCTTGCCCTTGCCACCGCCGCCTTGCGAGTTCGACGAGCTCTTGCCGGCATTGCGGAGGAACTGTCATCATGCGAGCGAGAAACGTAGGCTTTCTCAGACGTGTTGGCGGGCAGAGTCTCCGGCGCGCTTCATGCAAAGGGGTAAAAAAGGAAATGGTAGTGGTCCCGAAATATCGCGGTCCCGAACAGGGCGGTTTTCGCGTTAACACATCCCTCGACACAACACCTACCTGGCAGCCTACTTCACGTACTAAATTTGAGTTCGGGGAGCTTCCCCCGAAAACGCGGATCCCGATAAGTACATAACACGGTGATTTTTGTCTGTCACTACACCGCGATATATATATATCGGGACCCACTGCCGATCTAGTCCGCGACAACTCTTCTTCTTGGACGGGCGGGTGAAGCCAGGTAAAACCTCAGCAGTGCATTCATTTGGCAGGCTACATTAGAGCTCACCATCGGATGAAATTAAAGCTCCGGCCTCCTCGAGACTATACAAAACCTCTTCTTTGCCAAATGACGAAAAAAAAAAACTCCCGCAGCAGAAGTCTACCACAAGCTGCGTTCGTTCGTCTCTATCCCGAGTTCACGCATCAACGGATTGCTGCCGCTTCCTCTGACGTCAAAAACACCACGTGCCTGTACCATACTGCACGCCTGTTTCTTCCAAGCCTACCCCCCCCCCCTCCCCCTGCATACAACCTACCCACGTCGTCCCCCTTCACCTCTTCCTCTAGAAAGCTAGCTCACCTGATCGTGGCAGACTTTCAAGTCCGCTACCCACTTGCGCGATATCGCAAACGGGACTTGGGGTGACGCCCCCGATCCCCTCCCTCCCCCTCGGCCTCTTGCCGCGCGCGTTCCTTCGCGCTGCTGCTGCTGTGGTGGTGGCCACGAAGGCTCCGGCTTTTCCAACTCCGCCAAGAGCTGTCCGCTCTCGCGAGACACGTTCACGTTGCTCTCCCTTCCCCCCAAGGCATCACAAGGGACCAACAAAAAAAGAAAGGGGCGGGGGGTGGTATACTGCTGTCACGCAGAGCTCGTTGGTTCCTCGGCTAGCTACAACAATGTTAAGGTACATACGCCTACATTATCTCTAAACCACTTCCAAATGACGACTAAAGACTATACCTGCTGTGCACACGTAGAGGGTAACGACACATTGTAGCATAGCTTGCAACGAGAGCAACCGCTCGACTCACTTCTGCCCGATGTGGTCCTTGACACAGAGGGAGCAGTAGTAGTTCGAGGCGGAGAGGTGGTAGTCCGGACGAGGCATGCACACCGTCGACAAGATTCCCTCGTAGGCAGCCCTGGTGACCAGCTTGAACTTGGACACCGAGGCCGGGTGGAGCCCGCCGTGGGGGCAAAGCAGCGGCACGTTGGTCAGGCGCTCCGTGAAAACGCACGGCGTTTCCTCCTCAACCTCCTCCGTCAGGAGAACCTGTTCCTTGTTGTCGTCCGTGGCAATTCGACACGTGGTTCCCGCCACGTCGCCCTCCACCCCATCAGCATCATGACTGAAGCAAACGGAACTTTCGTCCGAGCCAGGGTTGCCCTCCTCCTCCGGGGCCCCCTCTTCCTCCTCCTCCTCCTCCTCCCTCCGCGGCACAGGCCCCCCTGTTGCCTCTTCTTCAGGGCCTCCTCCGCTGCTGTGTGCCGCCACAGCAGCGCCATCCGGCTCTGGTCCATCACCGGCATCGGCGGCTCCGGCGTCATCGCTGGCCTCGCCCTCCCCCGCCGCCTTGGTGGTCTCTTCCACCTCCATCATCTCGCTGCCGCCGCCGCCGGCCTCCCCCCCCTCAGAGGCTGCAACACCGTCGAGCACGAGGGGGTCCCCGCCCGAGGAGCCGCCGTTCGCTGGAAGAGACATCGCCGTGGACGCCGCCGCCGCCGCAGCAGCAGCAGCAGCAGCAGCAGCAGCAGCAGACTCGCCATTGTGATCGGCGCGCTGCCCGACGATCCACTGCCGCAGCCACTCCGCTTCCACCCAGAAGAACTCGCTCTCGGGGATATTCCCTGGCAGCTCTTCTTGTCCCTCTTCTTCTTCGCTGTCGGCGGCGGCAGTAGCGGCGGTCGGGGATTGCGCCAAGGACGCGGCCACCGCCTGCGCGAAGTCGAGTTCCTCCTGGGTGGTTGACTCGTCCGCCTCGGCGGCCGCAGCGACGATGGCGGAGACGGCGGCGGCTTGCCTCGCCTCGTTGCCATCGCCTCCCGCCGTGGCGGCCGATTCTTTGAGCTCCTCGTCGGAGGGGCTGGGGTGGACGTACGGGACAATTGCCTGCTGCTGCTCCTGCTGCTGCTCCTGCTGCTCCTGCTGATCGTTGTCCACTGCGATGGCGGGGTGGAGATACTGGTAAGTAGTTGCGGTAAATGGGTGGGGATTGTATACTACGGCCTAGAAAGGCTTTTCCGAATGAAATAAATACAGTGTGATGCCCAAGAGAGGGGGGGGGCGCTAACATGGGGGGAACACGCCGACAGCGCCATGCAGCAACAGCAACAGCAACAGCAACAGCAACAATCGCATGCAACGAAGAGGGAAGAGACACACAGAACCGTCGCCCGCCATGCAAGTTCACAAGGACAAAGGATAACACAACCATCAAAATATCAACAATAAAACCAGGCCGAAAATAAGAAGCGCCGCTGTCTTCGCTCTGCCGTTAAACCCTGGGATTGTCGAGTCGAACCTCTCAAAGGAAAGCTCCCGTGCTACGGTACCGGTCTCACTCTACAGCTCACGCGCGCATTCGCCACAACTTACAATACAACGTGCTCCCACACGTACAGCAGATGCACGGCAGCACCATCTGCTCACCACCCACCAGCACAAACAAGCCATGACACACACACTCCTCAGGATGTGCCTGCCCCCTACTTGTAGAGCGATTTTCAAACCTCGGTTACTCCACAACCAAGATTTGTCTGTACCGTACCGTATACCATGCCGTGGTATTCCGTAATAGGCGGAGAGATGACACCCCGTCCCAGAACGATTTTCAAACCTCGGTTACTCCACAACCAAGATTTGTCTGTACCGTACCGTATACCATACCGTGGTATTCCGTAATAGGCGGAGAGATGACACCCCGTCCCAGAACGATTTTCAAACCTCGGTTACTCCACAACCAAGATTGTGCCAAACACCAAAAAAGGCGGTTTTTGAAACATCTCGTAGAGGGCCTTCCGTAGACATTTGGGACTCTGCCGCACCCCCTAGGTTTTTTTAGCAATTGGTGGTTTGAAAGGCGTTCTAGGGTGGGTGCCACCTCACGGTATTTCACGGTATTTCGACAACGTTCCTCACGGAGAAATGACCTCTTCGCGTCGCTAAACATCTCCGAATCCCGGCGACACACAGCCATTCAGGCAACCCACCTCCTACATCCTCGTCGTCCCCCCCGGCGGCGGCAGCGGCGGCGGCGGTAGTCCCTTCGTCCGCGGTGCACGAGTCAGCCCTCGAGCGTCGCCTCGCCCTCTTCGCTGCCGGCCCATCTCCCGGCTCTTCGTGGCCCTTGCCGTCGTCGGCCTTATCCTCCTCCTCTTCTTCCTCCGCCTCCTCTTCCTCTTCCTCTTCCTCCTCTCCAACCCCTGCGTTGTTTTCCTGGTCGATCACTATAGCCTGCGCGGGTCCCTTCCCCTTGCCTGCTCCCGCCAAGGAAGCAACAACAAACCCGCGGCGAGGGGGGGTAGATAGGCTTGTATTTCGTGGTTATTGGTGCTGGCGTATTTGCTTGCGAGCGCATACGCGACGGTTATTAAGGGAATCTAAGCAGCTCGTCGGGTCTAGCGGAAGTACCCTATTTAGTTTCTTTGCTGCCCATCTGCTATCGTCGCTCGTAGCTGCTGAGCTCCGATCCGCGGTGTGAGTTCCGATCGGTCTTGCTACTAAACAATTCCCGTCCGTCGGCCCCCTCGCCCTCACTTCCGCGGTCCTCACCAACAAAGTTCCAGCAGGGCCTTCACTCCATGTACCACTCTCACTCAGGTGGTCGAGGTCTTTACTATCCATAACGTCTTGGGGTATACGAAACGACGCAGTATTGTACTTTAGTGTACTCCGCCGAGACTCGAACACACAACCTCAACCGTTGTGAGCTTTACTGATATAACGGGGTATAGGCTGCTTTATGAGGGTACTCAAATACCGTAGACGACACAAGATAACCGCCGGGGCTACCGGCATCTATCTAAGCTAGTTTGGTGAAATGATGGATACATAATTACACCAGATGGCGGGTTCACCCTTCGGTAAAAGTGAAGCCGGTCGAATGTCGGCGACTACATGTGGGCATGGCAGAAAAGGGGGGAATGGCGGTGTGGCTGCAGAACACAAACCACGAACCACGGCATACTACAGATGTACGACAGCTCCCGCATTATAGCAGTCGCTTTTGGAGCTCAAGGACATGGCGTTCTGTGCAGTAAGCACGCAACTAGAAATGGTAGCAAAGGCAATAGTAATAAGCGGCGGGGCTTACCCTTGCGTCCGGCGGGGGGTGCGGGCTTGAGGGGTGGGCCGAAAATTCTGGCGTAGAGCTCCCGCCTGTCTTGCATGTCCCCGTCTAGTACAAGCTTCTCACAGTCGTATCTGTCCACGTTCGCAAGTAACGTCTCGTTCGATGCTTGCACAGCCGCCTGCAAAAGTCAACCGCCGGAGGAATCGGTCAACACAGCAAACATGTAACCGGTCGTTCGTACGATGTGAGAAAAGCGCCACCGGTGCCATGCCACGCTACACAGCAAACATGTAACGCACGGTGTCAGAGAAGCGCCACCGGTGCCTTGCCATGCTACCCAAGCACCACGCGTGGTGTCATGTCACATCAGGCAAGCGTCATCACTGCCCCGCCATGTAAGCGGCAACGGACTGCGATCGATGTCACCGACACGACCGAAACACGACAGAAAGAAGGAAGAAATAAACAAATAAAGCGTGGATGGAGGAGCTCACCAGCACATCCTCCGGCAGCTTCTCGGCGTCTCGTTCGGCACTGCTGGGCCCCCACGCAACCCCTCGCTTGACGTAGATCAACATGTACGCGTCCTCCGAGCCGCGTGGCTTCTTCGCCCCCGCCTGCCCGCCCTTTCCACTGCCGACACTACCGTCGTCACCGCCGCCCCTGCCACCACCGCAGCCGTCTCCATCCTCCGCAACAACGCCGCCAACTTTGCTTTCGACCACCTCGGTTTCTTCCCTCTCGTCGTCCGCATCTGCCGAAACGGCTGCACCATCTTCCCGAGCCCCCCCGCCGCCACGAACGTGCGCCGAAGCATCCGGTGCCTGCTGCGCTCCGTTTTCCTGCCACTCCGCCTTGGCATCATCGCCCCCGCCGGCGCCGCCACTGCCCAGGCGCGGGCCTTGCCTCGAGCCACGGGTGGTGCCTCCCGCAGGGACGATGGCGTCATAGGGAGTTCCGCAGAATTTTTCTTCTTCTTGTTCTTCGGCTTCGGTTTTTTCTATTCTGGCCAATGCTGCCGCCGCCCTTCGTGCCTCCGCATCTCCTCGCCTTCGTCTCACCGGGGTTAGTGCAGTTAGTGCAGTTAGTGCAGGTGTTGAAGCTGCTTCAGTCTGGCTGTGGCCTTCTTTCGAGCCTGCTCCCTCACCTCCGCCGTTGGTCCTGCGGCTACTCCGAGCCAAGTGCGCGGAGAAAGTCTGGTCCTGCAGAACATTTGAGGCGTGTTCGTTCAGGATTACAACCGTTTCCGCCCGGCAGGCATACTACACCGGGGTGGGGCGGGGGAGGGTGCATGCTGTGGTCTTGAGACCATCGGCCGTGCAAAGAGTTCCTGTTCGAGACTGAGAATTTTTCCTCGCGCGATTCGTACAGGCTACACTGGCGTGAAATAGGCGCTTTTATACCAGTCCTGCACCTCCTGCTGTACTCGTTATATCTACGTTAACCGATGTCGTAGAGGTACCGACCATCTACCCAGATACTGAAGCCTTGCATGTCTGTGCGCGTGGTCTGTCGCCACGCTCTGCATGTGAGTTGCGTTGTGAGGGGGGCCGGGGTGCTACCTCCAACCCAGGAATAGAATAACGTGCGGGATGGCTTACATCCTTGTCCCCGCTGTTGGCCTTATGATCACTGTCCCTGTCTTGCGCAGCATCTCCGGTCGTGGTGGCGGCAGGCGCGGCCGCCGCCGCCGCCGCCGCCGCCTCAGGCATAGCAGGAGAATGAGGCGGACGTGATGCTGGACGAAACGCTGCCGCCGCTGCCGCCGCCGCTGCCGCCACCGTCGCCGAGCCAAGCGAAGAAATAGCTTGCATGACAACACGGCTCGGCGACCCGCGGGAGGCAGCGGCGGCAGCGGCGGCGGCTGTCGAGGACGGCTGCAGCGGGGATAGTGACGAAACCTTGAAGCCCCCGTCCAGCCTGGCCGCCTTCAGCCGCAACCAGACTGGGTCGTCACCGCCGGCCACAACAACGCCGTCCTCCCGACGCTTGCATTCGTCGCACGCCCACGAGCCGTCCGCGGCTCCGGCGCCGCCTGTGGCGCCTGCTGCGCCGGGCGAGGCCTCCGGCCTCTTCCGGCGGCAGCGGGCGTGCGTGTGCAGGCCGCAGCCAGGGCACCTCTTGCTGTCGCTGCCCATCGTCTTCTCGCCCGGAAGGCGGTTGTCGCCCAGGCAGTTCGGGCACCACGGCTGGTTCCCCCGCGGCTGGGACGGCGCGGCGCCCCCCTTGCCTCGGAGAGACTCGTGGAGGTGGGTGTCGTCAGGGCCGTGCTCGCCGCCCGGGCAGCGCGGACAAATCCAGTCCGGGGGCGGGAAGTGTCTCTTGGTGCGGTCGTAGCCGACGCAGCGGCCGTGGAACAGCTTGCCGCACGCCCGACAGCAAAAGCTGGGGTGTCGACCGAGGTCTAACTTGCAAGCCCCGCAGGTGTTGCTATTGGTGCTTCTAGCACGGCTGCTGCTGCTACTGCTGCTGCCGCCGCCCTTGGCGAGACTTTTCTTGCTAGCGGTGCGGCCGGCTGCTGCAGCTTGCTCTGCTGCTGCTGCTGCTGCTGCTGCCGCACTTGTACCCTTGGCAGCGTCACCGCTTGACGTGACCGATCCAACACTGAGGTCCGGGCGGGTGGCCTGACAAAGGCGAAGGAAGGCCGACATAGACGAGCCGGCATATGCCGTAAATGATTTGGAACCATCACATTTCAACCACCTTACCCTACAGCGTACGGCTGCCTATTGGACGAGGGGAGGGCTTCCATGTGCACTGCCTGCCACGACGATATTTGCAAGGATACTGCAGAATTCGGATCACACACAAGTACACTTGATCACGCCCTTCAGCATCTCAGGCGACCGAAACCACCGGCTGTAACAAATCAAATCCGTCAGTTAGTTGGGGACCAAGCAGCGGATACCGTGCTGGAAGAACGGGAAGAAACGCAACGAGCTCGAGGCCGGGCACAAAGGACGACGCAGGTCATGCCGTTCCTCCAGCCTAACTTAGAAAAATAGCAAAATATACTCGAAGTATAACTGTAGCAGCCAGGACCTCACAACACCTACTCCTATTTAGCTCCGAGGATCAACACCCACCGAAAACTACCTTTGACTATTGTACACCAGTAGCCAAAAACACGCCCTACGTAGAAAAAATACCTCTTGCCCGTTGTCCAGCATCACGTCGTCGTCTTCCTCTTCTTCTACCACCTTGCTTCGCTTGCCGCGCTGTCTCCCCGCTACCGCGCTCCCTCTCGCGTGAGCCTTACGTTTGCCCTTGCTGGCGGTGGACTGCTTTGCCTGGGCAGGGTTCTTGGCATCTCCATCACTGTCATCACTGTCACCTTCCTCGGCTTGGTCTTGATCTTCGACTTGCTTCCGACCACCATCGGAGTCGTCAGCCTGAGTTGTGCGTTACAGGACGTTCGTACAGACAGCACTTTTTTTCGCCGTTTTTTCTCTTTTTCTTAACTGCAACCACAATAAAGCCATCTCTATCGATAGACAAGGGTCTCTTCTGTTCTTAGGTCTCAAGACAGAATCGGGATTACGGGGGAGATGGTAACGCATGGGGTCGCTGAATGGACGTCGTCGCGTGCATAATAATGTAATGTACCATATCAAAAACCTACCGTATGCTCTTACACAGCAAGGTACATTATGCGCCCTGCCTGTCGCAACGAGAGTCCCATCAAAACCAGGCATTGCATTGACGTATCCCACATAGCTTGCAGGTGCTCACGGGTGAAACAACAACAGATAAAGCTCGCCGCAACTCCGCCTACCGTCATGCCGAGGTCGCTCGCTGCTTGCATCTCATCCGACGCCGCCAACAACAATATCCGCGTTTCAGCTCTCCCTACATGTGCCCCACCCACCTCTCGCAAGAAGTCCGCGTCTGCCTCTGACTCCGCGGCAGCTGCATCGTCGCCGCTAGAACCTTTGCCTGCAGCTGCAGCTGCTGCTGCTGCTGCTGCTGTTGCCTTCTTGAGTGTCCCGCGGCCACCGTTTCCCTTTCCGCGTGCCCCCTTGCCCTTGCTGGCTGTACCGCCACCGCCTCCGTTAACGGGTCCATGGGAGTTCGCCCCCGGAATGTGTCGGACTTTTTCGTCGTCGAATAGGGTCCACAGGCCTGATTCAGAATCGTGTACCTAAAACAAAATTTGAACAAATAAAAAAAAAAAAGAAGGGAAACAACGTTGGACTCGCCGGTTACGAGTGATCGTCTTCCCTGTTGCCAGTGCAGCATGAAACCATGAAAAACAACGAAGAATAGAGCAACACAAACAATGGACGTACGAAACAAAAGAGGTAAAAGAGGAAAAGAGGAAAAGAGGTAACAAGCGACACCAAGACCCACGTCATCAGACAGACGCCATCAAAACAACAACGAAACCCACAAGCTGCAACCACACACAACAACGACAAACACCTCAGTATTGTAACCACACGCAGCACCTCCATATTGTTGCCGCCCCTACACACAGCAACCACGCCTCCATATCGCAACCGCACACAACGACACCAAGGAGAGAGAGAGGCGTTTGCCCACCTCACCTCTGCCACGATGTGCCCGGAGTGGACGTTGCTCCCCTTGTGGTACAGCACGCATCGCAGCTCGTACACGTACTCCTCATCGTCGTCACCGTTGCTCCCCTTCCCCCCCTTGGGAGACACGCCTTTTCCTCTTTCTCCCCCCCCTACTTTAGACCCGTCGCCTCGTGGACTGACGAAAGACAGCGGAAACGGTTTACAAAAACAAAAAAATGTGCGTGAAAGGTCGGCGGAATTAAAAAAGCGTGGCAGTTGCGTGGCAGTAAACCAATGAGTGCAAGCGACGGGGGGGTAGTCGGATTTTGGTACAAGTTTCACGCCCCTGTATTTTCGTGTCTTGCGTTGATTGTCCTTGGTGTTTACGTGAAAAAAAACGTAGGGCTTACCCTAGTCGCGGGCCCATGTCCAGCGTCGGCGGGAGCGAGATGGCTGCCTTGATCTTCTTCTTAGCCATGGTCTTCAAGTCATACTCGTATCGAACCAGCTGCAGCGACAGCACCGGGGGAAGGCGCACAAGCTCCGTCATCGTCTCAGCGTCCTGCTTCTTGCCGCACTTCTCGCAGTTGTACTGCAAGGACGGACACCAACATGACGTGCAGTGCAGCAGCAGAATAGCAACAGACGACACGAAGCAAGGATAGAGAGAGAGAGAGAGAGAGAGTGAAGACAAACAGGCGGTGGTGGTGGTGGACGGGGAGTGAAAGCAGCGGTGGGACAAAGAAATAACGTTCCAACGAAGTGAAACAAAGGGGAGAAACATGCATACGGCGCGCGGTGCGCATAAATACTCCTTGACATAAGCATGAGCGTTTCGAAGTTGTAGTAGCTGGTAGAGGTGTGGCGGTCACACACACAATTAACCACTGTGATACCATCCGCACGTAAGTGGTACAGTCCCTAGTTCTACCAAGCAATACATTGCGCCTCAGAGCTTGTGTCCTCAGAGCTTCACACGCACACAGCAGTGCGTTGAAGCTGAGGTTGCATTGCAGCATGCACGATGCCCGGTGTCCCAGCCTTGGGCGTGCAGAACGGACAAACCTCCAAAGGTACGACACTAAATTATCCATGAATCGTCCATGACATGACTCGTCTCACCTGGTTGGCGCCGACGAGAATTTCGTGCTCGAGGTGGCCATCGAGTATGGTTTCAATGGACCGGTGATGCTGCATGGTGGGGCGGTGTGGAGCGTGATGATCCGTGATGGCGATAGCCGTGTCAGGACAAAGGGCGTGGCACAGGCGAGCAATCGAACAACCTTTAGACTTGTTACCCATATTACCCATACTTCCTTGGGAAGGGAAATACGAGGGAGGTGTTTCGCGGCAAGCAAGGTACACAGCGAAAAAAACAACCACAACAGCAACAGCAGAACAAAAAATGACCCGACCTGTTAGGGTGCGTTGCTGAGCCGAAGAACGCTACCACCGCCCACAACCAAAACCCACAGCTACTTGGACCCTCTGCCGATTCTGCGTCCCTCCCCAACACAAGAGTGGAGAGCGAGATGGGTGGACATGTGGCACCACCAACGTTCAACGAAGCAACGAGACAACTTTCACACCTTCCCTCCCCCCCCCCCGTGTTAAACAAAGCGACGACCACCACCACCACGAGACAACCTTTACCCCCCCCCCCCCCCCCCCCCCCTCCCTTT